TGGGTAACTATTGTTAACCACCCACATGCAGACATGACCTGGTATGCGGGTGTGTCAGTCATCCATCCCTCAAAACAGAACAAAAGGTCACAGCAGCTGATTTTCAGACTTTGAAGTTGGATAAGATTGACTTTACATACAAGTAATGGCCGATCATCGATCTTCCAAAGTGAAAGAAATCAGGGCTGGATTATCGCCCAGTCATTTTTTTTGTTTTTTTTGGTACACCATTACTTGGTTACTATCTTGGTGATGTCTGAGGGGTTTTCCTTGATTTATTGGTATTAAGTTAATGAGAAACATAAATTGACCCTTAAATATGTTAATCACAGGACAAAACTTTCAGTTGTATGTGGACAAATTTTGTCACATTGTGATTCAAGAAGGTTGAGGCTTTTTCTGCATCTGTCATGGATACAGTGAAATGTATCATCAGAAGGTGGAACAAAGTTTGTACGTTTCTGTGTGTAGGTCTTGTATTTCATTCGTAATGGTCTTATAACACCTTAAATTTGAGATGGTGAAACCTGCAGAAACTGTGTATTCTATCCATGTTGTCTTACCCAGCCCTTTCACAGCCCCTTGTGCTTCTAAAGACAACTTTAAAAACACAAGGGAGGAAATTTTGCTTGCCTGACAGAGAGATTAACATAAGTGACAGCAAGAGGCTGAAGCAGCATTTCACTTTGTTTTTCAGTAATTAACATCCTGTTTAACTGGATATACTGAAAGCTAAGCTCTTCCCTCCTGGCACACATCCAGCTAGGAATGATTTTTAAGGTAAAAAAAAATAAAAATAATAATAAGCAGTTATTTCTTCGTTGTTGTTTACACGAGGACAAGCAATGTAAACTGGCCTGCAGTGGCTGGTGATGAGTCGAAGTGTGACAAATTTTGTTGTAATTGCTTCCTTCTTTGTCCTTCCCCCAGACCTGATGTATTCCTCTGTGAAGGACAGAGTGACGTAGCTCTGTCTTTTCAAGGTGCTGCAGTCCTCTACTCAGCAAATCCCTTCTTAAAGTCCAGGCCTGTTTACTCTGCAGTGACCACTGGGAGTAGAGCTGCAGCTTTTGTGTACTTGCTGTAGATTGTTGGCTGCAGGGCAGGAACCGTTTTTCTTTCCTCCTTTATCACCCCCATAGTCATCTGCACTGCAGCTTTCTTGTTTAGATAAAAAAAAATAAAAAATAACATAAATTTTGCCTGAACAAGGTAATTGTGTTGGCCATAGATTAAAAAAACATCAATATTTCTGATCCTTTTCATGCTGGTCAGCAATAATTCTATAGATTCATGTCTTGTTACTTGGAATTTCTTTTTTTTAATGATTTGTTAAATATATATTTACATATGACTAACTTCTTTAATCTTGAAAACTATTAACACCAGTCCGCCAGTGATTTCGAGAGCCGGGGGGCATCTGGGACAGGTTTAGGCATGCTGTTAACATCTGAACACAGTTGACTCAAACAAGTCAAATAAGGTCAGAGGTGAAGGAAGGCGCACTTTTATAAATTATGAGTGTTTACACATCAATACATCATAAAATACAGACTTTAAATCTGATCACTCTTTAAGTATTTATGGTAATAATGATAAAAGCGATGGTGATCCGCACAAATATCTCATGCCAGCTGTCAAGCAAGGTAGTGGAGAAGTACTGGGTTTTGCTTTTACAACAACCACCCTGCAGTGTTTGAGTCAACTATGAACTCTTCTCTCTTGGCATATTTAAGTACCATCATAAGCTTGGCCCAAACTTATTCAGTTACTCCCCATTTTTTTGGAACCACCTCAAGGGTGGTAGAAACGGGTCCTCACCGGGTACTACGCTCATGTAATTTGACTATCAGCATACTGCATTTGTTGATTAGCATGTAGAGTCTGTGACAAGACTGTGGCACTTGGTGAGATGGTGAGGCGCAATTTGCTAGATGATCAAATCTTGAGGTCCAAAGCTTTTATCAGTTGTGGCTCACCCGTCCTTTTGATGCTGTATGCATCAACTGGAACCCAAGACGGACAAATATACCCAGAGATTTTAGAGATACTGGCCATCTAACATTACACACGCAAAACAATGTTATCGGAGCATCAACCTCAGCTCCTGGGCATTCACTGCATGCCCACGTTACTAGCCATATTTATGCCCACTTTGGTGAAGAACTCATTGCCAGTGGAGACAGCCAGCCTGGATAGAACCAAATCGGACAGCGGCCTGATAGTGAGACTTGAAGATGGAGAAGGGGCAAAAATATCAGCAAACAACAATGAACTGAAGCAATGTTGTAAATAAGAGTGAAACAAAACTCTTCTACACTGATGTGAGAGACTGATGACCAAAAAGAAAACTTTATTGTTGCTACAGATTGTTCTACATGATATGGAGTCATGGACTGGATGAATTTATCCTCATTGAAGTCAATATGTCTCTTCTTATTGTTGTTTTTTATTTAGTGGATTTTAATGTCAGTTTGTGGCTGACATAACAGCACAGAAGTCAAATCCTGACCCTCAGCTGATCTGCGACCTCTTCATCCAACTCTGAAATAGGCTAGGCCCTCATTGATATATTCAGGTTGCCTTTCCCCTTCATTTTTACCAACATAACTCTAAACTCATTCATGAAACATCTTCTAAATACAAAGCTACTGGAGTTGACAAATAATCTTCCTCCAATTTAAGATTGCTAGTGCTAACGAGAAGCTAAAAAGCAAACTGCGCAACAGAAGTGTAGAGATTACTTGCAGATGAGAAGCAAGAAACAGAAGAAATGTGGTCAGATCCCCAGGTGTGAAGGCACTCTGGGAGAGACAGAAAAGCAGGATTACAAACCCAATTAGTGAGTTAAATGGTGTGAAACAAAGATACCCCCGCAGGCCTATGTGTGGACTGAATGGGATTACACTTCCAAAAGCACTTTTAAAGGCCAAGGAAACATGTAATTGGTTAAATACGGCAAATTTACCATGAAAGCCAATTAAAATACTTCTACGGGTTCATGGTTGTTGATCTGCTCAATAACTCAAACAGCTCGTCTTCTCCAAGGTCTCCAATCATTAAGTAGTTTTTAAGTAATGAATCAACTCTGAAATCATCCATAATAGCTAGTAACATAAAAATAAAATCAAAATAGGAGTCTTAGCGTTAACGAAAACATCTCCGACCACATCATGTGTAACTAAATGTCACAACCTCCTCGCAGGTCGTTACCTCTGGTCCCTCGCCTCCGTCCAGCCGAGGCGTTGGTGTCAGTGCTGGGATCCAGTATCACACAGGCGAACACAATGACGGCTCTGTAGCCCGCTGGCCGTATTGTTCTTTCCTGAGTTTGGAGGCACAATGAGGCCCTTATCCACACTGCTGAGAGAGACTCACTGTCAGGTGCTTTTCTTCCCAACTTGTTTGGGGGCTGAAGCCTTGAAGAGAATGTGTTTAAAAAGCAGAAAAGGATCAAAATTGGTTGTGTGGTTGCAAATAAAGCGTTAGCTAGGAGTAAATGGAGAAATTATCATTGCCCTAATAGTTTCCTCTATTGGCTAAACTGTTTTGGTCTATGATCTGCTTTGATGAGATGAATAAACATCAACCTGACAAGCGATGAAATTATGGTGAAAAGTTGGTGGAGATAATCCTCAGATCTGGAGTGTGCTTAACAGATGAGACAAGCATGATGCTAAATGTAGATCGTGATGTTCCACTCCTTCCAGATCCGTTCACACTCATGTCTAAAACTTTTAGTCATGCTTGCAGATGTAATGGAAATGATTTACTGATTTACTGTTTCAGTGATGCTAAAGCACCATGAATAGATTCTCTTGCAGATGGTGTTTGTTGCTACAATTTAGTCCAGATTTCATGAATTAATTCCATTTTGATCTGCATTTCACATAGGCAGAAATGAGTAGTAACTACTTACATTTACTTGAGTAACATTTTAGAAAAATACATTACTTTTACTGCACTGTACTTTTTACATTTACTTTAACAGATGCACTTGTAATATTATTATGAATATTATTACTTTTGCTACTTGAGTAAAATTTCTGTATTCTCCATCCAATACAAGTAACTTCAGTGAAGAAAGAACCAACATATTTTAACGAAAAATGTATGAAAGAGACGCACACGTACAGTTTACATTAAAGTGTGACTTCTTGTTTCTACACCAGCTTTGTTGTTCTAATGTTATGTAACATACAGTAAACACTATATATTGCCACTGAAAGCCAATACTCTGTTCTAATATACAAGCATTCATTTTATGTAAATCACTTTTTTCCACAAATAAAGGTTTCACATTTTGGCAGTGGTTAAAACAAGACAGATACTTGTTTTAGGCAAACCCCTGATATTTTGTGGAATATTTTACACATGTTTTTGGTTAAAAGTTCAAATTAAAGCGTCAGACTGACTGGAATGAACAGAGAGAGTTTTTAGAGTTTTGTTATGACGAGCTACATATGATGGGAAAGGAAGAGTCATTTGAAAGACTGGAATGTGGACTCTGAGCTTCTCCATGGTGATGCTTGTCCTGTTCATCTGTCTTCAGTGCATCTCAACAGACCTGAAGCCTTTTAAACATTTGAAGCCAACAAAATGTTAAACAAATGTGCTTTTCATGACAATAAAACTTGGAATACACAAAAAGCTTGCTTTGGGAAAGGAGACTCAAGCAGCACAGGGAGAAATTATTTCTTCTCCCAGAAGCATACTTTTACATTGTTTTTTGACATTTCAATTGGATTCGTTAATGTAAGATTTGTCACCTTTATATGATTGTTGAATTAAACTGAATCCATTTAAATTCAGTGATGCCTTTAATAAATCCATGAAGCTATAAATTACATTTTGATGCTCTTTGCTCTTGAGAAGTCAGTAGTTGCGTTCCAAGACTTGATAAATCTCTTTAAAAGTACAGACCATTTTCATATTCCCATCCTGAACAGTCGGCACTAATAAAACAATCCCATTTAAACAGTTTGTGTCTTTGTCCACAGGATCCGTCCTCAGCTGCCCAGGGAGAAGATCGAGGGATGCCACATCTGTACATACGTGATGCCTGGAGAGCCTCAGGTCATCCTGGGGAAGGACAAGGCCTTCACGTACGACTTTATGTTCGACATGGACTCCCAGCAGGATGCCATCTACTCCACCTGCACTGAGAAGCTGATCGAGGGCTGCTTCGAGGGCTACAACGCCACCGTGTTTGCATACGGACAGGCAAGCCTTTGTGTTCCAGCCCGCTGCAGCTGCAGCACCGACGACGCTTTTAGCCTCGCTGGTGGAACATATTTCTGTCTGAGCTCATCTCTTTGTGAGGAAAATGAGAAGAGGTTGCTGGGGAATCTGTAAAAGAGAATATGTTTGACATTTTAAGCAGAAAAACTGGAAATTTACATTTTAGTTTCTGACTGGATAGCAATAGTTTTACAAGGAATGTAAGTTTGGAACATAAAATTCAGATTGTGAGATTATTATACACAATTGGTGACACTGATTATCTCTTTAGTTTTAAGGTGTCACTATGGAAACCAGTAGGTTCAAATGTGAGGGAGTTCAAGCTTATTTTGGAGTTAAGTTGATTTGTTTGTGCTGCACATACAGGTATATTAAAAAATTTGAATATTGTGTAAAAAAAATGTCTCATTTCAGAAAGAAAAGCTCATATTTAATACACTTAATAAAATATTTTCAACCTTTAATTCTTGTAATTTTGAGGACTCTGGCTTATAGATGATAACACAAACTCCCTTGTCTCAGAAAGTACACAACACCTATTTAGAAAAGCATTTTTTACACAATCATTGATAAAACTGCTGACTGAACAGATGTACACAAGACAACCATTGGCATTCTCAACATGGAGAGGAAGCCACAATAAATCAGTGCTAAAGAAGCTGGGGTTTGAAAGTACTTTATCCTAGTATGTTCATAGAAAGTTGAGTGGAAGGAAAAAGTGCTGGATCCCTTTTGTCAAAGCACTCCTGAACCAGACATCAGAATCTCCTGGGCTAAAGAGAAAAAGAACTGAAATGTTCCTCAGCGGCCCAAATTCTGACACTAATTTGTCAGAACTTTAAACTTTAAAATAACTATTTATTTTACTGAAGTGTCAGTAAAATAAATAAAATTTAAAAATGTATAAAATAATTATAAAAACTTACCAAACCAACCAACAAACATGAGTAAGAACACGACAAAAAATGTGAAGCCCAAGTTACAAAACAAAAAATTAAATAAAAAAAAAATTAAATATAATATTTTTTGTTTTTCTTCCGGTCACTGAAAATATTTTTACGAACCCCACTTTGTGTTTCTCTTGTATGGTCATGCTGATATTAGAAAGCTCCCATTAACAACAGCTTGTAGCTAATATCTGCTCATCCAGTCTACCTTTAGTCTAAATCATAACAGTGTGAAGTCCATCACAACTCTCTTCTCCTACTACTCAGGTTGCCATAGATACAGAGCTCCTGATGGATGGCACTCAGAGCATTCACACTCATGTCTAAACCACGCATCTTCAATGTGTGGCAGCGTTAAGTTGTGTTGCTGCTGGCCTACTTCTGACTGGAGCTCATGTTCACACAGAGAGGATGGTCTGGCCCAGATCTGCCTGTTTGCCCCCCGCATGTCCCTCTTTACAGGGACTTATCTAGATTTAGAGCGACCCACTCGGCTGCATCACAAGATCTCAGCCCTGCTGGGCTGCAGATATAAACAGACATTAACGACATGGCCGAGCAGAGTAAATCCGTCTCATCCAAAGATCACTGGGCTGTTTAAGCCTCAGTTTGGCAGATCGAATGCAGCTGAAGACACAGAACAAACTCGGCTTGGACTGAAAAAAAGTGGTTTCCCCCGTTGCTAGAATGTAAATTTGCTGTCCATTTTAAAAGGAACAAACAGTGGAGAAAATAATAAAAATAGATTTTCTGATAATACTGTCAATTTTGTTTATTTTTTTAA